CAAATTGGTGTCAGAGAGTGAGACAAAAAAAATGGAAACGGGAAGCAGTAAATTAAACTACAGCTTAACAGACTTGATGACAGCAATACAAGAGCAGCAAAAGAAACAAAAAGAACGAGAAAATAAAGAAAAGAAACGAGAAGGAAGAGAAAAGAAACAAGAAGAGAGATTACAGCAGCTGTTGGAGGAAAAAGAAAAGAAACAAGAAGAGAGACAACAGCATTTGCAAGAAAACCTGCAACAGTGGCAGCTCGAACAGCAAATTAAACAAGAATATAGATTACAGCAGTTGTTGGAGGAAAAACAAAAGAAACAAGAAGAGAAATTACAGCAGTTGTTGGAGGAAAAAGAAACAAGAAGACCGAGAAAATAAACAGAAAGAAAGTCTCCAACAGTTGCAGGAAAGTCAGCAACAACAACAGGAAAGCCAACAACAGTGGCAAAAAGTACAAATGGGAAACATTAGTAAATTTCAAAACGAATTAAATACATTAAAGGATGATTTATTGTCTTTTACACAAAGAGGATACATTAACCATCGACTTAATCAACCCCAGACAATGGCAAGCCCCTTCCACACCCCGCAGCTAAATTCTAATGCAGATATCTTCAGTCCTGTTAGAAGTCACATCCCAGATATGAATGTCAGCAATAGAGGTGATCCAGTACGAAGGAAGCCACAGAAATTCGATGGGAAGGCACTGTGGGAAGCATGTAGAGCACAATTTGAGCTCCTGGTAGAAATGAATGGATGGACAGAGGAGCAGAAAGCAGTGTACCTGGCAACGAGCTTGAAGGGACAACCACTGGAAATACTGGCAGCGGCTCTAGAACTCAGGTACGGAACCCAAAATCAGTCGGAAGTCTACAGGGCTAGGTTTATGACGAGAATCCGTGCTAAAGGGGAGAGCCTGCAAGAGCTGGCACAGGACTTGGAAAGCATGGCACACAAGGCCTACCCAACTGCACCACCCGATCTCCTCAAGTTGTTGCTGAGGGATGAGTTCGTAGATGCCTTGGACAGTCCACAACTTAAGATACAAGTGAAGCAAGCACACACCTCTACCATGTAGGATGCAATGGCCAGAGCTCTTGAATTTGAATCCTACGTTAAGTCCAGCACAGAGGTACCAAGGTTGGTACAGTCATCTGGATTCCAGGCCAGTAAAGGTCAGCTTTCAGAGAAGTTTGAGGTACTGTAACAAACCTGGGCACAAGAGAGTTCAATGCTGGAAACTTCAACACAGGGGAGATGATACAGCAGGAAAGGCTGCTACCCAGAAAGGTTGTTGGAACTGTGGAGAGCAAGGACATATGAGGAGCCAGTGTAAGAAGAATATTACCAATAAATCAGCTTCGGGAAACCAGTAGTGGTTGGTGCCAAGGGACGCCCACCAACCCCTATCGTGAAAGTCTCAACAGCTAAGTGTAAAATGGCAAGCACACATAGTGTCTACGTGACAGGAAAGCTGGATGGCCAAAAGTGCAACTTTGTCATAGATTCTGCATCTCAGCAAACCCTTATGAGTATCAAGGTGCTGGATCACAAAGGAGTACCAGAAGCCGTACAGAAGCTCTCTGGTGTGACAGGACATTAAACATGGTTGTGGGGACCAGTGTGGGTAACTACTGAGCTCGTGAGTATGAAGGACAGACACAAGGTATACTTGGCTGACATTGAAGATCAATGCATACTAGGGTTGGACTACTTACTACCGAGAAAGTGTGTAATTAATTTTGATAAAATGACGTTTGGGAACAACAAAGGCCAAATTCCGGTAAGTGTTAAATAAGAGATTGGAATAACCAGGTGCCATCAAGCTGAAGTCAAAGTGACTGAATGAGTTGATGATGGTGAAGTGGAACCAGGTATAGATATTAAATCAGAGCAGGAGAAAGACCAAGATTTGAAGCCAATAATTGATTTTCTAAAAGCAAGTGTTTTGCACCCTGCTTGGGAGAAGGTGTCTAGTCTAAGCCCTGTGACAGAGAACTATTGGGCACAATGGGACCACTTACAGCTTGAAGATGGTATTCTTCTCTGGAGATGGGAAAGTGCAGATGGGAAAACGACCACCTGGCAAACGGTTATACCGAGAAAGTTACGGGAAGTTGTGCTGCGTCAATCCCATGATACTGTAACA